TTATGGTTGGTTTATAAAAAAGTATTAGTCCTAACTTAGTCTTAGTATTAACCTTAATCTTAGTCCTAATAAGTTAAATGTACAGAATGTAATGTATCGGTTTATAAAAATCCCTAGTCGTAAGGAGGTCATAAGACATGACCTTGAAAGTTCGCATCTTTAATTTTTCTAGGATTATGACTAAGATCGGAGAAGTGCGCATGCACAAGTATTGCATTTCGTAGCATAGTGGTCTCCTGTCTTTGTCTATGGTGGTCGCCATTACGCCATTACCATAGTAATACGCGCCATTATTCTATGGCTAGAAATTGGCCTCAATGATTTGGGATCGAGGGGGATTATCCCTCTTTATCCTGCCTCATCTCGTGTAGGCCTGGACAGCCTTCGTAGGTGGGCCCCATNCTTCCAAGGGATCATCTAATTAAATTTTCAAATAAATGACCATCCTGCTGAACACATAAATTTAATCTTTCTTTCAAGGATCGTCTTACTCTTGATAACATTTCTGGAGTTATACTTCTACATGATTCTCTTATTCTATTTTTCATATCATCAAGAGTTGTTGGTGGATTGGCATATACCTGCCCCTTAATATAACCCAACAGGAAAAAGTCTAGAGGGGTTAAATCGCAAGACCTTGCAGGCCAGTGAATGAAACTCCCACACCCTATCCATCGTTCTGGATAATTGTCATTTAAGTATATTCTGATACGATATATTTAAGTATATCATGATGATAATGAGCGGGCGCTCCATCGTGTTGTATAAATATATTTCCTTGTTCAACAATATCAATATCTTGAAGAAGATTAAGCAAATCATCTCTCAAAAAATGTAAATACCTAGGACCATTTAGGTGTTCATTAAAAAAATAAGGTCCTACAATTCTTGTATTTAAGATACCACACCAAACATTTAACGACCAATTATTTTGGTACCTTACTTCCCGTAGCCAAAATTGATTTTCCGTTGAGTAATAGTGCATATTGTGCCGATTAACTAAGCCGTTACTTTTAAAAGTTGCTTCGTCCGAAAACAATATTCTTGTTAAAAAGTTTGGCTCAGCTTCAATTTGTCTATTCATAATAGTACAGAAATTTACTCGCTGTTCAAAATCATTTCCGTGCAATTCTTGATGTAGTTCTATGTGATAAGGGTGGTACTTATATTTCCTCGTTATTCGGTTTACAGTAGATTGTGACATTTCAGATATGTTAGCCACTTGACGACTACTAACATGAGGATCTTCTTCAACTTGAAGTAAAACTTCCAATTCCTTATTCTCATTTGACGCATTTCTATTAACTACTTCCCGTTTTTTGTAATTAACATTACCACTTTCATTAAATCTTACCATTAACTCTTCAAAAGACTTTTTCGAAGGCAAGCGTCTATCAGGATATTCCATTTTATACATTCTTTGAGCAAGAAGACAATTTCTTTCGGCTGCACCTAATGCATACACCATATCTATAAGTTCATTTCTTGTAAAATTCATTTTGAATTTCAATAATACTGATTTAATGTTCAAAATCTCAATAACAATGCACTGACAAGTCTAATGTAACAATTTTGATTATTTTGTTTATAATTGTCATTTTGTCATGGCTTTTGTGACAATGTAACACAATTAGAAAATCACGAAAAATGCTCCACTACATTGTTAAGCGAATATCTCCAGAAGTATTGAGTATAGGTATAGGACATGGTTAACAAAAGTTGTTAGTTTTTAAAAGATCTAAAGGAATATTGAAAAATATACAGGGTGTTCCATTTAAAAAAATTAAGATTTTTTAGTTTAAACTTCTTCAAATCTGTCATTATTTTACGAACACCCTGTAGGCGCTAATCAAAATTTGAATCCATGACGTTCTCAAGCCACCTTTACAGTAACCCGGTACCAAAAATCTAGTTTTAATTCTTAAAAATAACGAGGATAGCTACTGTTAAATACAGGTACAAAAATGCAATATTTTTTATTTAGTTCCAATTATTTCAGAAACTATTAAATTTAGATATAGGAAACTTTATATCAAAATGTTTCAAAATAAACGTAGAATCTAAAAATATTGTAAAATACAGGGTGTTCCATTTAAAAAAATGTAAGTTTGGCCTGCCACAAATTTTTGGAGCACTCTGTATATTTTAAAATATTTTTAAAATGTGTCCTGGTAGCGTACTTATCACCCTGTAGAAATAATTTTTTGATAAACTTTAGCAATTCGGAGCAAATCTACTTTAACCAATCGTTGACTCACCCTGTATGTTATTTCTGTTGTTTAAGTTCTTTGTTTTTCTATTGTTGGGAGCTCTATATGCGTGGTTATTTCAGGAAAGCACACTATATTTTTCTCTAAAACTTTATTTTTCCATAAAAGCATAAATCTTAAACAACGCTTCTTTTTCGCACATAACCTCTCTTTTTTTCCTAACTAACCATATTAAGCTCAAGATAAGAAGTAAGAACTAAGAACACTGATCACTTTAATCCAGATCTCCTCCTCTTCTTCTTATTCGAATAAGTAAATCAAAATCATTTTTTTAAATATTTGAAACGGGTTACTACACTATTAAATTATTCTTATTCCAACTTTTTTCCTGATCGTCAAATTTGACGTTTAAATTCATAGCCAACTTTTGAATTTTCTATGATTTTAAATAACAGCTACATACGTATTATTAGTTATTCGTGTTTTTGTCGAAAACGACAAAGTTTTTTGAAAACTAACAGGAGTAAGAAAAGTTTTAGAATTAAATTTCCCTTAAAATAAAGTAATAATTTTTTAAGTCCGCTAATGGGTTAAAATATTCTGTCACATTTTAATAGGTGGTCAAAATGCTTCAGTTTAACTCTACTTTCTGTCGATTAATGCTCTTGGTACACCGTGTACCAAATTTGGTTTTTCTAAGTTCAAGCATAACGGAGATATTGATTTATTTCGAAATTTGAAACCCCACTTAGCTTAGTATAAAGGTAGTTGCATTAAATCTCCATATTTTGGATTCCCCTACATGCGAAATACCCTCTATATTATCAACAACATTGGTAAACACATATCTACATAATTATATTTGAAATTGGAGAACAAAAAAAGGTTTGTCTTTTGCAATTTCCATTTAATGTCAAAGTGTTTGTTAATGTATTTTTTTTTTCTCGTTCGTTTGGCTTTAACATAGTCTTTACATTTACATTATGAGATCTACTCCTAGGACTTTTTACTTCCTTGGCTATAATTGAAATTCTATTCAGTTATTTCTCTAAATTTGTTTTTCTTAAACAGAATTCTAATACGAGTGCAAGTAGCTGAATAGAATTATCGCCTTTTCTAAGCTAGACATGCCAACAATTTTTTCTTTCTTTTACTGTTGTTATTTTTGTAATTTATTATTACATTATTATGTTGTTTTAATGTACTAGGTACGTGTTTATGTGTCGTTAATAGACAAATGTTTTATTTTAAATCTTAGCTATACTGTGCTTTCTAAAGAGCACTCCCTTGAGTGTCCACCCAATGTAGGTTACTTTACCTTTTAAGGTGACACAAATAATTATATGAGAAATGTATGCCTCAGCTACTATCGCTCTTCACATCTTTCTTCATTCCTACACATTGTTCTTTATTTCCATTTTTTTTATTCCTCATTTGGATTATTTCTTTTTTCATTTGCAATTTTTCCATTATTTCTAAATGTGTATTGTATTTTTTTCTTTAAATTAAAGGTTATTGTTAATAGAAGGATTATTACTTGATGTAATTTTTCTGCAAATCTCGCTAAAAGGAAGGCTTTTCCTAGAACCCGCAGTGAAGAAAATCTTTCCACAGATGCTTTTACGTGTTTTTACCCGATCTCTTCCAACAAAACACGAACAGACAGCTTATCGCTTAACGAACGCAAAAAGTTACTATCACCACTAGCAGAATCAGCTTCTCGCAACGCCAATCATCTTAAAACAGTACCGCAACCATCCATCATCTCACACGAGTGTCTCGATAACAATCGCAAGCAGATAATCAACGATCTACTCTTTCAGGATCCGTTTACCAACAGAGTCTGGAGACCAGGGAAGCTGTGTTCTCGACCAGAGAAGGCGACCATGTAGATTACGACACCTATATGGGTTATTCCATGGTCGTTGGCGACTTCCTAGATGGGGAAGAGTACGAGGGTATTGCAGTCGGTATGCCCAAAGGGAACAATCTAAAAGGCAAGGTAAACTTATCTGCCTATTTAATTAATTATCACGATTCTGCAAATCGGACGTCTTTCAGGTTTTGCTGTATTCCTGGGATTTAAAGAATTACAAAAATTTAACGGCAAGCAAACAGATAGGCTCTTACTTCGGTTACTCGATAACGGCAGCGGACGTCAATGGAGACAAGAGACTGGACATCATCGTAGGCGCCCCCATGCATACGGAGGCCAATAACGATAACAAATACGACGTTGGGAGGGTCTACGTTTTCCATCAGAGCAGCGATCCCGTAAGTTGACAGATTGTTACCATTATTTAGAATCATCTACGTTTCTCGGATGTTGTGCAGTTGTTCTAACTATAGCCTAGTCACAATTTAGTCATAATTTGTTATATAATGTGTTTCGTTCAAGTCACATGCGTTCACATCGGGTGTACCTCAGGGCTCTAACTTAAGACCATTTCTGCTAATTTGATTTGTAAATGATCTTTTTTTGTATCTTTATTCTTGTCACTTTTTCTTTACTCACAACTAAAGTTGTATCATGATGTACTGATGATTGTATTATACTTTTGCAGCTAGTATCCTTGTTTTGAATATAAATAAATGCAAAATCCACAGTTTCACTCTAAAATTACAATATTTAATTTGTTTCGGTATCATTTAAACTGGTATTTTAAGCATGATGCAATAAGGTGCCAGATCTCAACTTCCCGTTTTTCTTTTAACAACGTGACTGCTTTAAAATGTCTTTATTTCTCGTTAGTACGCTCTAAGCTTGAATACTGCAGTCTTATACGATATGCTTACTATAACAGTCATATTGAAAAGATGAAAAAACTTTTATTTAAGGTACAGGTACAGAATTACCTTTCACTTCTTTAGCTTTAGCCAGGAATCTCTGACCCATTCTTGTTATTCTCGGGCTAAGTTCTGTGGGGGCAGACCCGCCATTAGAACCTCTAGGTTTTCCCTGAAGTTCATTTCGGTTCTTATTGGGTCTAAGGCCACTTCAGACTCAACCGCTCCTCAGACGATGATAGTCCCCCGAAAAGTTCCGTAGTTATATTCTGCTGTTCAGTTAAAAATTTTTTCTAGTAAATGACTATAATAACTACAGCAAAAAAGGGGATTAAATTTGCTATAAAAAATGTCCTTAGTATCTAAACTGTAGAGTTATTAGTTCACGAGACAATAAATGCATAGCGTTATTTTATTTTACTTGCAGGATAGCTTCGCCAAGTACTCTTTCATCGACGGCACTACTTCAAAGTCACGGTTTGGCCACGCTGTGTCTTCTTTGGGTGACCTTAACCAAGACGGATGCGATGGTCAGTCTATAATGATCGTAATATAAAAAAAAACTATAATAATTGATTCTTTTGTTTTCATGTCGTAATTAACTTTTTTCGCAGATTTTGCAGTCGGTGCACCTTACGCTGGTTCCGATGGGCGCGGAGCTGTTTACATATACTACGGCTCTAAGCAAGGCATACGCAAAAAGTCGGAACAAGTTATATACGCCAAAGACATAGAAACTAACATTCCCTTACAAACTTTCGGGTTTTCGATATCAGGCGGCATGGACTTGGACGGCAACGACTATCCCGATATGGCGGTGGGCGCTTATCTTTCCGATACAGCATTTTTCTTCAGGTGAGTGAGATTAAATTAAAACATATCGAAAATATCTGCAAAACGGTGAAAAATAATATATTTTAGGTCTCAGCCTGTGGTGATCGTCGATGCGTACGTGCAGTACCGAACCGCCAAAAAGCAAATAGACATAAAGGAAACGAACTGTCACATGCCGGACGGTTTGGAAGCGATATGTATCGATGTCGATTTCTGTATGAAATACACTGGGAAAGGGATTCCTCAAGAATTATGTAAGTAATCGATTCAACGTTAAGTCTAATCATTTTATAAGCGTTGTTTATTCGTCTTGATCTGTTAAGTTTGAGCCTTTACGACTACCCTGATTATTACAAGAGTGTCCACTAACTTCCACACAGGCTTCCATTTTTAACAACTCTTATTGGAATAAGTAAAATGTGAAAATATTACATGTTTTACCCAATTTTATGCTTATGACAAGCACTGACACCTCAAATCACGCGGTATGAGTCTTCCCTCTTTTTGTACACTGTAAACAAACATAAAAGAGTGAACCTAGTAATCTGTAGACAAAATAAAGTTTTTATTTAATGCTATTCAATATTTCCCACAATACCATCGACTCATATACTTTCATGATTTTGAAATGTTTATACAGGGTGGCCAAATGAAAACGAAACAGCCATTTTCAGGAACTGCGTCAAGATTGTAAAAAAACGCTCAGACCCGTCGATTTTAGATTAATGGTGGACATTTTTTGCTGGTATTTTTGACTCCGCCACTTTCACCCCCAAGCAAGGGTAAACATCACCCCAAAATATTTAAATGGCATTGGGGGTTGAGTAAAATTGTTTTGAAAGCTCTTACAATTCTCTTTGGCTCTGTTTCGTTTTCATTTGGCCACCCCGTATAAAATTTTTACCACTTTTAGATTTCAATGTAGAGTACTTTCTGGACGGCAAGAAGCCAAATACGTCGAGGATGGGCTTTTTCACGCGCAAAACCCACCAGTTTGTCGACACCCTCCTGTTATACAAGGACAGACAGAACTGCAAAATGGAAAAAATATACATAAAAGTAACGTTCCTCGACCAGTTTTGACTTTGACTTATTTCCACGCCTGTTTTAGAGCGACATGAGAGACAAGCTGACGCCGCTAGAAGCCGAAATGAAATATTCCTTAATAGACGAGTCGAGCTTCTCGGGGAAGATCAGAGATCCCGGGTCCCACTTAAGACCTGCTCTAGACTTAAATTCTCCACCGAGCAGGAAGGACTCTATTACCGTCCAGAAGAACTGCGGACCGGACAATATATGCATACCCGACTTGGACGTCAGTATCGAATCGTAAGTACCCGAACGTGACAGGTTTTAGGGGTGTTTATTTACGCGATTGTCTTATTTAGCAACGTCAAGAAATACCTATCGGGTTCAGGAACCAACCTGGAGTTCGACGTAATCGTTTCGAACTTGGGGGAGGACGCTTTCGAGACTATGCTCGGGATGAGGTACTCGAAAGATATCAATTTCAACAAGGTAGTAGTCAAATCGAACATGCCGGGAATCTTATGCAGTCCTGTGAACGCCACGTTTTTGTCGTGCGACATTGGCAATCCTCTTCCGGGGAAAAAAATTGTAAGTCCCGCCAACGACGCGGTTTAAAGTGTTAATTCTGTCGTTTTTAAGGCAATGTTTAAAATAGTCCTGCAACCGCCCACCAAGGAAGACGTTGTGCCACCGAGTTACGAGTTTGACGTGTTCGTGAACAGCACGAATCCCGAACAGGGCTCAACGATGGCGAATAACCAAAAACATATCTCCATCGACATTTGGATAGATGCTTCGCTTGAAATGAGGGGGTAAGCATTTTTTCGACTAGTATTAGAATATAAAAAATCATGGGTGGCATATACTCTACAAAATACATCTTAATTGTACGTTGTACCTATCGAGTAGGTCGCTTTTTGCAATGTAACCCATAAAAAATATGTCAAATTTCACTGTAACTCGATGCCATAACCTACAAAGTTTGTTTGTTTGTCTCAACTGTCAATAGTACACAATGCCTACTGGTACAAAGCATTACTTTATACCTACTGGAGTAGGTCGTTTTGTGTGGTATAACCTACAAAGTATGTGTCACATCTTCAACGTTAGTGCCTACTGGCACCAAGTATTCTGATATATGTAGTAAAAATTAAAATTAATGATCCTGAATTACTATTGACACATTTTAAATTAATATTGACTATGAAATTAAATTTGCAAAGTTAAAATTGATATTATACTTTTTAAATTACGATTGACCATTTAGACATGCTTTCATAGTACCTACAGATTAGAGGGTCGTTTGTTAGTAGGTACAAAATACTTTTAGGCCAGTCAAATTGTCGAAAATACCTCATTTTTGTGCCAAAGTCCAGTTCAGTAAACCAAGAATGAACCAATGAACTACTTTGCCCCGGCTCAATGTTAGCTCAGAATTCCAAAAAAGTTTTTTTCTTTTAATAAAAAAACAACATTTTAGAAAAAAGTGTTTTAGACAAAAGTTGTAGAACTTTTTATAACAAAAATTTTGAGCCCAGCCTGATGTCAATTCATAAACAAATGTATTAGTTATTGCAAAAAAACGGATAAAAATTCCAATTTTTTTTTTTAAAACTTCTACAGTGTGTCCCGAAATTACTGCATAATTTGGTCATAGATTCTTAAGACAAATTTAGGGGACCCGTATTTTTTCTTTTTGCCCCCTCTTTCGTGGTTACAGCCAAATCTAGTTAGAAAGCCATTGAATTTAGAAACTTTTTTGTCTTTTGATATTTTTTCGTAAAACGCAATGTTTTTGAGGAAAATGGCGAATCACAATATGCATTCGATCACATTTTGAGATTTTACGAAAAACATATCAAGTGACAACAATAATGGCTTTCTAGCGGACTAATAATTTTTAAGAAATTTAAATATGTGTCCAAATTTTTTTGGCTCCAAAGACACATAGCACCATCAGATTCCACATGTCATAAAATCCCCGTGTAACAAATTTAGTGATTCTCGTACAAGGTTCTGAGACATAAAAAAATGATTATTCTTAGGGGCGGATTTCAGGGGGCTGTAACTCCGAAAGAGGGGCCACTTGGAAAAAATAAAAAATACGAGTCCCTTACATTTGTCTTAAGAATCTGTAACTAAATTTTGATGCAGTAATTTTGGGACACCCTGTATATATCTTTAAAATAAAAAAATATTTTTTTACGAAACCTTCAGAATATGTAGCCCTTGGCAAATAGAATAAGTGCATTTTTGTATAATTGCAAAATATTGTGCAAACTTTAGAAACTTTTGAGTTTTTCGTTTTCGTGTCGAAAAATATTTTTCTTATCATTGTTTAATCGGAATGGCATTATTGCCATTTGAAAGCTGACATTTTTCACGAACTAAAAAAAAAATTTTCTACGACCAACAGCAGCCGAGAAATTTTTTTTTTTTTCAAAAAATCGCTACGACCTCATTTATTAATATTAAGGTCTGAAATTTACACATGTCGTAGTTGAATACTTTTACTTCAATACAAAAAATACTCCGGAATGATTGACCCTCTTTTTTACAATACACTTAATTTTGTTGGGCCCCGTAAAATGCTTGCTCTGCTCGACAGGTTGATGCGCGTGGTGGGGGGGAGAGAAACTAAATTTCGGCATGTAAAAATCTAATTTGGTAGGACTATTTGCGCTAGTAGGCATTGAGTAGCAATAACGTTTTAAGATATTACATTTTCTTTGCAGGTTATGTCCCACAACCAAACCTACATCAGTAGGTACAAAGTAACGCTTTGTGCTAGTAGGCATTGAGTAGCAATGACATTTAAGACATGTCACATACTTTGTAGGTTATATACCACCCGTACTTATTTAAATTTGATGTTTACATGAAATATAACCGATAAAACGTTTCTGTAGCGATTCATATCCCCCAACCGTGTACTACAATCAGTCCTTCGACACTTCCGGTGAGATAATCAGAGAGAACGACATCGGTCCTCAGGTAACCCACGTGTACTACGTAAGGAATAGCGGACCGGCGACTATACAAGAGGCGGAAGTGTTTATATTATGGCCGTTACGGACTCTAGGAGGTACGTAACTGCGATACGATAAATACGGCATAAATAAATCGTATTGCTCTTTCAGGGGAGGACTTGCTGTATCTACTTGATGAGCCGCACACTAAAGGGAACGTGAAATGCGATCCCGGCATGGCGAACTACAAAAGTTATCTCGTGAGGAATGTTTAAATTAAAACCCGACTGTTACTAAAGAATTTTCCGTTCCAGGTGAATTACCACGTAGACTCCATATGGGACAGACTGAGAATCGACACTTCGAGCGTCGAAGACACGATAGTCGCGGGAAAACTAGCGGGTTCCGAGACCATCGAAAAAGGAGCTGGAACTTCCAGCGGCCCCGGGGTAGTCAACAGGAACAACACAGACGAAAAGTTTGAAGGCAATACGTCTATAAACTCTTCTTCGGTTACCGAACATCACAATGCAAGCAGTAACATTAACTCGTTCGGTACCGTGAATGCCAACGGAGAATTTGTTCATACGGAAGCAAGATCGTACACCGTTTGGAGAAACGGAGAACCGCACACGACTTGGCAAAACGTTACTACGATTAGAGACGCCAACGGAAAGATTCTGAAAACCTTTACAAATCCTTCTTCGGTTACCGAATCACATAACAATGCAAGCAGTAACGTTAATTCATTCGGTACCATGAACGCCAACGGAGAATTTGTTCATACCGAAGCAAGATCGTATACCGTTTGGAGGAACGGAGAACCGCACACGACGTGGGAAAACGTTACTACGATTAGAGACGCCAAAGGGAAGATTCTGAAAACCTTGCATTCGAACGATAATACCGGTCAGTCCTCTGGCGGCAGCTTCACCCAAGGAAGTTTCGGTACCACTGGCGATAGGCATTCCGTCGATCGAGGCAGTTCCGGTATTGCCTGGCAGACGACGAGCCAGGAGGAACAAGCCCGTGCCGAACAACAGAGGAGAATCCTGGAACAGGAACGGCTGAGCCGAGAACAAAAACGAAGGGAAGAGTACGAAAGGAAGAAGCAAGAAGAAGCCTGGCAAGTGAGACAACTCGAAGAACGAAGGTTGCAGGAAGAGGCGCGAAGAAAGCAACAGAGCGGTTACGGCCAGGGAGGGATCACGTACAACGAAGATAATCATCGTCAAGCTGCGGGATGGGATCGGTCGTCCACCGGTCAGGTCTTTGAGACGGAAGAGGAGAGGAGGAGGTTTTACGAGGAGGAAAGGAGAAGGCAAGAGGCGAGTCGTCGGCAGGGCGGCGTTCAGGAAAGTAAGTACATTAAGGAGTACGCTTACCAAGTCGGAGGAGGCTCCCGTGAAGGTATCTACGGTTTATTTATTACGACACTAAGTATTAACAGTTTAACACATCATGTCGCATCCGTATTGTACTTCTCTAAGTTCTTACTCGAAACGCTTCAACGCTTATTTAATACGTTGCAAAAATTGTCTAGTTCCTATTTATCCGTCGATGGAAGGGTGTGACTTTGAACGGGGGTCATTTTTATACGGAGGCTATCTTTGAACTTTAGAAACGTATGTCGTATGTTTGCTTTCTCAAATTCCCTTGGTGAAACTTTATCTTTCTTGATTCGTAAAATTGTTTTTTTCATATCACACAGAAATTTAACAATGAAGACGCACAAACACACCATAGTGACAGTAAACACTGAAATAATTAACTTATATCGGGTGTTTCAGAGTTGAAGTGACAAAGCGTAGGGGAGATTCTGCTCAGCAAGATATGGTAAAAAGGTTCATATGAGCACGGGTCCGCAAGTGCTTTGTTTCCGAGATACAGCGTTTTTATTTGTTTTTTTTAAATTGAGTTTTAAAAAAAAACACAGCCGATTTGAATGAAGTTTTTTACAGTTTGTTAAAACATCATACATCAACCAGACCAATTAGATTTGATCCAGAATTTTCAGGGGCGTACCTACCCAGCGAACAAGTTTTTTTTTTTGTAGAAAAGAATATCACTGTAGTTTTTTTGTGGTTTCTATGCAATATTCACTGAAATTTTTAGTAGGTTTATATGAATATTACAGAAAAACCGCAAAAAACTACAGGACGATATTCTTTTCTGCAAAAAAAACTGACTTGCTTGCTGGGTATACCTCTGAAAATTCTAGATCAAATCTAATTGTTTTAATAAACCGTAAAAAATTCATTCAAATCGGCTAAAGCGTTTTTTAAAGCACTTAGTTTAAAAAAAAAATTAACATCCTGTATCTCGGAAACGAAACACTTACGGGCCCATGGTTGTATGAACTTCTTTACATATTTTGCTTAGCGGAATCCCATAGACCGATCGAAATAACTCATTTAGAGGAAAAAAAAAAGAAAATTGTTACCTGGACTTTTATTAGTGGAAATAGTAAAATAGTATTATAAACGAAAAAAAATAAATGCGTGAGCAGGGCCGGCAGAGGGTTGATTTGGGGGGGTTGAAAAGTTGTGAAAAATTGTATCATTGGGATTTCTGGCGAAAGTTGACGTCAAACTAAAAAATTCCAATACAAAGGTCACTTTTTAAGATAACCTCAAAATTTTCGAGAAAAATGCGAAAAACAGTTTTTTTCTGATTTTTCGTTTTTTATTTCTCATTTCCGCAAAATTAATTTAGTTTTAACGAAACTTGGTGAAAGTATACCTTTCTGTGTCTTAAATAACCACAAATTTTTTTAGATAAAAAAAATCAAGAAGAGATATTCACTCTTTCCGGTTTGAAACACTTTTTTTTCAAAGAAAAATTCTACTTAGAAAAATCATCGTACATTTTTTTTTGTTTTGGCATATTCTTTTTAGTGAAATAAAATAATCTGTAATCACAGTTCAAAAACATGCTCAAAAATGACTTGCAACAATGAATTTTTTAGTAATTCTTGATAATTTGTTTAAATTAAAAAAAAATTAAAAACTGAATAAATTTTTCAATCGTACAAAAAAAGTGCAAAAAAATAGTTTTGGGTCGAAACAATGAGACAGTTTTTTTTCGTATTTTTTTCCGTAGAACTGAATGGTTTTTGAATTTTTTTAAATTTAAATAAATTGGCAAGAATTACTGAAAAATTTATTGTTGTAAGTCAGTTTTTTTGCATTTTTTAGCATGTTTTTGAACTGTGATTACAGATTTTTTTATTTCACCAAAAAGTATGACAAAACGAAAAAAAATGATCACCGGCAGAACTCTGTATGATGATTTTTCAAAGTAGAATTTTTCTTTGAAAGAAATGTGTGTCAGACCGGAAAAATTAATATCTCGGAAACCTCTTGCTTTTTTTCTCTAAAAAAAATTTGTGGTTATTTAAGACATAGAAAGGTATACTTTCACCAAGTTTTGTCAAAATTAAGTAATTTTTGCGAAAATAAGAAATGAAAAACGAAAAATCAGAAAAAAACATGTTTTTCGCATTTTTCTCGGAAATTTTGAGGTTATCTTAAAAAGTGATCTCTACAAAAGTTGTAGATTTTTGCATGATTTACAACTTCTGCATTGGATATTTTTGTTTGACGTCAACTTTCGCCAGAAATCCCAATGATACAATTTTTCACAACTTTTCAACCCCCGAATCAACCCTCTGCCACCCCTGCTCCCACATTTATTTTTTTTTAAGTTTATTATAAGCCCTTTTACTATTTCTACTTATAAAAGTCCAGGTAACAATTTTTTTTCTCTAAGTTTATTATTTGGTAGGACTACCTAAAGTTTTGTCAATTCAACTCTGAAACACCCGGTATATGTTGTATTCACTGAATACCACTTGATATTTTACTATAAAATTAAACTTCATAAAATACAGCAGTGCACTATTCAAATTCTATTCTGCATCCAGTAAAAACTAACACTTTGTGCAAAAAGTGGCGAAACTGCCTACCGTAAAATAAACAAAATAAAATGAAGCGCCAACATGTTTGGCCCTTCCCATTTTACCATATTAACATCAGCGGTTTGTTTTTTGCGGGCCTAGCGCATTGTCGTCATATCCCATCAGGTGGATTGATACGGTTCACCTAGATTAGGTCAATGTTAGAGGTTATCGACTCCGAGATTCGCAAGCTAAACGCAGTGCTTTGGAAAAACAATAACCAATACATTTTATTAATAACTTCAAATAATTTTAAAAATATTTCAAATCCAGCAGCTTAGGAAAGACTTTTATTTAATTATTATGCACCTACATTTTATAAAAACCAAAAATAGTTATTTTAAAACATAAATTAGCTTTACTTATAATTTTTTTTATCCAACTATTTACATATTTGGTTTAAAAACAAAATTCAAATTGGCATTATGGGGAGTACGTATATTACCATAAAAAAAAAACTAAAGCCCCCCTCCCCCCCTATAAAGTTACACCTTGTATAACATGACTGAAAAAAGAAAAAAATCCGTTGTGCCACAACTCCAAGCCTCCAAGCTACTGTAATTCTTCAGGTGGAAAAGATCCGGGCGGGTTGCCAAGTGGCCGGTTGAAACTTTTTGATGTCATTCGAAACCGACGGCGTGGCGACCAACCCGGAAATTGTCCTTTCGGTGACAACTGCCACAGAAATCCGCAAACCAAGCTACTGCAACTCTTTTTCGAAATTAACAAAAGTAAGACTAACGTCATAAATCCCATTTTTAATTATTCACGTCGCTGTAAATTACCCTACGGAAACAAGCTTCTCCAATCCCATTATGGAGAAACACGATTGAAATTTTATTTAATCAGGTGGTGCGCACGGCCGAGGCCAAATCGAACAACATTTTGTCAACCGTGGAAGGTTATCGGGAGGAGGCCGACACCACGTCCTTACTGGATACTACGATGAAAATGGCCTATACCACAACTACTCCGGAAATCCTCAAGGTAAGTTGCATGTACAAGTTTGTAAACATTTATCGCTTCATTTCGTCTTCTTACAACGTTCTAACATGTTTCTATTCTATCAATTCAGTATGTGATATATAAATTTTTTTTTTATATTATAATCACCTTTCAAACAGGACAGAATTAGTTCAAATTAACAATAAACACTCATATACAAACACAGGTATTCACGGGGTACCTCAAGGTTCAGTAGTCGGCCCACTACTCTTCCTCGTATACATAAATGATCAAAAGATCTACCTAATTGGTAGTATTCCAGGAATTGAGCTTAAGCAGATGGCGCAGAATTAATGATAAATGATGACTTATTTATTTTTCTTACTAGGTGAAGTGGTGTTCAACAGAACGTACACCGTAGAAACGACAGATACCATCCCTATCGACCTATCGGGAGGACAGAGCGGCCAACACCTAGACTTTGGCGAAACCGCATTAGGTAGCGGATTTACCGTCCAGACCCTAGATCTAGGCAACTCGGCTAGCGAATCGTCACTGTCGGGTGGATACGGCGCTGGTTCGGAAACTTCTGGGTCCTCAGGCGGATTTCGGGAACAACTGTATGGACAGCATCAAGGATCACACCAAAGCGGGTCGTCTTCGTCCTCAGGCGGGAGCTACAGTCAAGACTGGCAGGTGGAAGGCGGTTTCTCGCAGAGGGGCCAAATACCACCGACTATCGTTCACAACACTGTGGAAAGAGACAACGTACCGACCGACAGGCCGAACCCTAAAAGCAGGTCTAGGGGTAAAAGGGAATTGGATCCCTACGAAGAGATTCAGGCGCTGGTAAAATGTAACGCCACCAGGTGTAACTACATCAGATGCGTCGTGGGAACTTTAACTAAGGACAAGGAGGTGGCCATTGCGTTAAGGTCCAGGCTGAACCTCAGAGAAGTGAATAATGTGAGTTTGAAACGAATCGAATCGCGTCGGTGGTGAAAAAACTTGATCTTTTGTTCCAGATAACCTCCAGCCAAGCCATCCAAATATCCTCGATGATAGTTGGGAAAATCAGCAAGCTGAATATGCGGAGTCAGGACGGGCAGCTTCTGAAGGAGCACGAAGTTTTCACCGAGGTGCCAGCGAAAGGACCCGAGCTGGTTCCTGAAGTGGCGCCCCTTTGGATATACGTGGTATCCGCCGTTGCCGGCGTAGTTATGCTGCTTCTTTTGATATGGATTCTTAGTAAGGTAAATTTCAGGGACTTGCAGACAGAGAAAATGCCAAAAAAATGCGAAACGTTACGAAAATTTCGAGGTACTCCGACAACGTTTAAATTTCTCAAAATTATTTGTTCTTCTTTTAATATTTGGAACACTTGAAAAGCTCTGAAATGCATTGAAAAATATGAAATACTCCAAAATGTTGCTTCAAAATATAAAAAAATTCATTCATCAAAATAGCATACCGAACCTTTGGTTCACGGAGGTCATTTTGCTAACGAGCATCAATGAACTGTGGCTGGTTAACTTTTCGGGTATTTCAGAGTATTTGGTGATTTCTGGAAGGTTTCAGAAATTTCCGAAGTATTTCTAATTCTATTTTGACGTATTTTGCCTTTTTGATGTATTTTGCCTTTTTGATGTATTTTGAGTGTGTTTCGATCTATTTTACCATATTTGTCAGCGGATTTGTAGAATTTTTTACGAATTTTAAAACTACTAAAACGTATTGCATTGTATTTCAAAACGTTTTTATGCCACAGAAGTGCTCCGGACCCATAAAATCTGTGACGGGTCCCTTCCTAGCAAATACATCCGCTTTCCATTTTCCATAAATGCCTTTACGTCAATGAGACTGTACCTTGTCATATTTTATAGAAGTTTTGACGCACTTTGAAGAATTTTGAAGCTGATACGATGATTTTGATTTATTTTTAACTTCTTTTTTTACCATTTTTTTCTTTTCAAAACTGCACATGGGCTGAGAACAATTTTTTTTGGCTAGGGTCATTCATCAGCTTGAATTTGTTTTATTTTTTTATTTTCTGTACGATTATTTCTGTTCTTCTATTGAGATATTGGCTATTGAGTGAAAAATTTGGAATGTCTGCATTTGAATAAATGTTAAGGTTTTCTTCCACTAAAAATTTCACAGCCATCGCAAGAAATTATGCGATATCCATTGATGGCACGAAAAACAGTAAATACCTTAAAAACCGGAAGAGATAGGTATAGGGAACCATTATACCATTCGAAAGAGAACATCTTTTTGAATTAGGAGTGCTTTTTAATTTTTTTTGAAGAAAATTAAATATCAAAAACGGTTAACTTTAATAATAGGAAGCCTTTATGAAAGTTCACCTAAAAATTGACATAGAATCCAAAATTGCAATAATACACAGAGTAGGGTGGGCCAAAAAAAAAACGTGTCTCTTGTGAAAATATGTTAGTTTATCATGTTTTAAGAGCCCCCTCAAAAAATCAGCTCAAAAAAAAATTTTGAAATAGAAGAATAGAAATAAATCACGAGACACTTAAAAAATTTCTCGAGGCCAGATTTACTACTGCACTGTGAGCATCAAATATTTATAATTTTTTAATTTTTTTAAATTTAGGTCTCGTGATTTATTTCTATTTTTTTTTGTTCATCAAATTAAATAAAAAAATTAGTTCGTTGCTATTTATTTTTAGAGGTCGCTCGAAAACATAGGTACACTTAGGGTTGCCAGATCTCCGGGTTTGACCCGGAGTCTTCGGGTTTTGATGGTACATCTCCGGGCTCCGGGTAACATGTCATTTCTCCGAGTTTTCTTTGTTGCGGAAAAAAGACATATTCCGATTCCTGATCTCTGTCACGCAGTAGATACTTCCTGATTGCGTCCTTTTTTTTTAGACATCGATTTCTTTGAAAACAAGAAAACAATTTGTCTCCCAAATTTCCTTCATAATCTTCTTCTCTTCATTTTAGGCAACAATTATACAAACGAGTCATATCTCCGGGTCTGTCACGAAATAGATCTGGTAACCCTAGAAATTAAAATATCGATTTGCAATTTTCAGAATCGAGATTTGTTTCAACCTAGAAAATGATAAAATAGCGAGAAAAAAATTAAAAAAAAAATTCAATTTTTGACAATTTTGGAAATTTTAAAAAATCTTGAGTGACCTCTAAAAAATTCTTTATTAGCTGATTTTTGAGGGGGCTCTTAAAACATGATAAACTAACATATTTTCACGAGACAAAAAAAAATATTCGTTTTTTTTTTTTGGGCCACCCTAATACCGAGTGTTCCATTTAAAATAATGAAAATGACCTCAACTTCCGGTATAACCAGAAGCATTAGGTGGACGGCATTATTTTAGTTGAGAAGAGCATGCCCGAAAACACTATTGCCCAAATTTTCAAAATTAAAATCGAAGTATCTGAAATATGTCTAATGTCTCGTCACCGTGGGACACCCTGTATATTCGGCATTAATTTGAAACTGCAAAAAAATACTTTTTCTGCTGTTTTGGAAAATCAACGACTACTTTGCAAATATTGCGAATTTCACCTTAAATACTCATAAAAAAATATCGAAAAAAACAAGTTCAAAATTTAAAAAAAAATCGATTTTGAAAAAAAAATCATTTTTCAAAAAATTTTTAAATTTTTTTCACATCCTCATTTTTACAAATCTACACTGAATATTTCAAATGTCGAATAAAAAATTTGTTTTTCAAAATTTTCAATTTTTTTTTTTTGATATTTGATGAGTGTTTAGCGCCAAACCGTAAGAAAGAAAAGGCAAAAAAATTTTGTTGTTGACGTTTAATGGACAATAAACCTGCTCCTTTAATTCTTTATGAATCTTTGCCGATTCAGGAAAGAAAAACGGTTCGACCAAATATTTTAAAAACTTACAAACCTCATGGGCATGGACGTTGGTACATTTTGCAATATTTATACAAAGTAGTCGTTGATTTTCCAAAAGCAGCAAAAAAGTAATTTTTTTGCACTTTTTCAAATTAATTGCTGAGCATATAAAAAAAAATTCTCAAACATAGCAAAAGGCCCTTGAAAAGGATTGATTTAGGTTCTAAAACCCACCTTCCATTCGCTTTCACTAGTTCATAAGATATCGCTGATCAAAAGAAACGTCACTGAATAGCCGATTTCTCAATGTACAAAATCGTACAGAAAATAAAAGAAAATCAAATTAAAGCCGAGGAATCAGGTTAAATGACCCTAGCATTGGTCCTTCATTAAGCCAGCATGAAATTTTCGGAGCCCATGTTGAAAAAAAAAATTATACAATTTATGCCTTGCATTATTTCTTTTGATTGCGCCGAATGATGGTCAAAAAAATTTTCTATCAAGATTTCAAAACTAAAATTCTCAAGATTCAAAATGCTTCTTTTTTTTTTGTCGAAACAACCATTATTCACGAAGTTACAGCCTCAAAAATCATTAAAATAATTTGGAAATTTTTCTGCTCCTTTAATTTTTTTTGGTGAGTTTATATTCTTCGTATCTTCACTAAAGAAAGCTAATGGTAATTTAAAACTGACTGGTTTATTACGTTACGGCAATTTACGTTACATCATTGTTTTCAGTGTGGTTTCTTCAAGAGAAACAGACCGTCTTCGGCGGCGGAACGTCAACCCCTGAACCGCAACGGATACCACAGCGGAGACGAGGCGCTCTAAGAATTTTGAGCGTATCGCAACCGGTAGCAAGATAACTGCCTTAACACAAGACTCGATTTTTTAAATTTATTTTTATTGCGTGCATGTGTTTAGTAAATATTATTTAAATTGCCATAACAGAAGAAAAGTAACATCTAACACGTCATTTTAACTGGGAGGTCGAGAGATTTACTACTTTGCCTGATAACACTCTGCCACGAGATTTATATTTGTAGAAAGTAACGTGAGACCGCATCAAGAAGCGACTCATTTTGTTCAGAGAAATGCATTCGTCGCCACCGCAGCTGGAAGAAACGGATTAAAGCGAGGTTGATTAGTAAATTTCAAATAATGGTTCCATTATAGATTTTGTAGGTCTCGTTGTATATTATTATTTATTTGAAAGGAACGCGTTTACCTTTTTAGTTATTGTTAAAAAACGTAAGTCTGTACTTATGGATGTTTTCAGATTGTATAAAGTGATTTGTAATATTTTTGTTGAGAAATTATTGTCATTGTTATTAAACCGTTAATTGTAACAAAACTGTGAATAAATTAATTAGGGATAAAGCGTCAGATTTTATTTCATTCCTCGATAAATATAGTAAAGGGTATTTCTTTCAGCTTCTATAATGAAATTAAATTATGAATTTTGAAAATTAAATACAAAATGGACATCCACTTGGTTGTAACAAAATACAAATACGAAAATTTGAGGTTATGAAATCGGATAGAACCTACTAAACGATATTTAAACATTTCTTATCTGAGATCAGGAAATTAGACAGATTTCTTTAGTTTTACCTACAAGCAAAGTTTTACTAAACAATATTTAACATATTTTGTATTTGAGGTTAGAAAATTAGTCAGAAACTACTAAAACTATTTTATTTCGTATTTGAGGTTAGGAAACCAGATAGAACCTAATAAACAATATTTAAACATATTTCATATCAGTAAATTGGACAGGTTCTTCAGTTTTACTAAACGGTATTTAACATATTTTGTATTTGAGGTTAGAAAATCAGACAGGAACTACCAAACTATATTTTATTTCAGATTTGAGGTTAGGAAATCGGCTAGAATCTACTAAACGATATTTAAATATATTTCATACTTGGGACCAGTAAATTGGATAGGTTTCTTCAGTTTTACTAAACAATGTTTAATGTGTGACGTATTTAACGTTAAAAAATTGGAACAAAACTACTAAACCATGTTTAACATATTATTCTCTGTTTGAGGTTAGAAAATCAGATAGAAACTACTAAACTATATTTTATTTCGTATTTGAGGTTAGGAAATCGGACAGAACCTACTAAAGATATTTAAACATACTTCAAACTTGGGGTCGGTAAATTCGATAGGTTTCTTCAGTTTTACTAAACGGTGTTTAACATATTTTGTATTTGAGGTAAAAAAAATCAAACTGAAACAACTAAACTATATTTTATTTCAGATTTGAGGTTAGGAAATCGCCTAGAACCTACCAAACGATATTAAAACATATTTCAGATTTGAGATCGCAATATTAGACATGTTTCTTTAGTTTCACTACACGATGTTTAACATATTTTGTATTTGAGGTTAGAAAATCAATCTGAAACTACTAAACTATATTTTATTTCGTATTTGAGGCTAGGAAATCGGATAAACGATATTTAAACATATTTCATATTTGAGATCAGTAAATTGGACAGGTTTAAATTTTTAGTTTTACTAAACAATGTTTAATGTGTGACGTATTTAACGTTAAGAAATTGGAACAAAACTACTAAACAGTGTTTAACATATTATTCTGTATTTGAGGTTAGAAAATCAGTCAGAAACTAATAAACTATATTTTATTTCGTATTTGAAGTTAGGAACTTGGATAGAACCTACTAAATGATATTTAAACATATTTCATACTTGGGATCAGTAAATTGTACTAGTTCTTCAGTTTTACTAAATGGTGTTTAACATATTTTGTATTTAAGGTTAGAAAATCAGTCAGAAACTACTAAACTATATTTTATTTCGTATTTGAAGTTAGGAAATCGGACAGAACCTACTAACGATATTTAAACATACTTCAAACTTGGGATCAGTAAATTAGACAGGTTTTTTTTCAGTTTTACTAAACGATATTTAACATATTTTGTATTTGAGGTTAAAAAATCAAACTGAAACTACTAAACTATATTTTATTTCAGTTTTGAGGTTAGGAAATCGCCTAGAACCTACTAAACAATAGTAAAACATATTTCAGATTTGAGATCAGGAAATTAGACAGGTTTCTTTAGTTTTAATAAACAATGTTTAACATATTTTGTATTTGAGGTTAGAAAATCAGTCTATATTTTATTTCATATTTGAGGCTAGGAAATCGGATAGAACCTACTAAACAATTAGTTTCTACACGATGATTAATGTCAGCCATATTTAACGTTAAGAAATTGGAACAAAACTACTAAACGATGTTTAACATATTATTCTGTGTTTGAGGTTAGAAAATCAGATAGAAACTACTAAACGATATTTAAACATAAGGCAAATGTTCTATCTAGATGTATCTCTTTGTCTTTCCATCGGTTACAATTAGAAAAAAACAAAACACGCCTAGAGCATCCAGATGTTAATACCGAATTTCATATTTGAGGTTAGAAAATTTTACACAAACTACTAAATATTTTATTTCATATTTAAGGAAATAGGACTACTAAACCATATTCAAACATATTTCATATTTGAGAGACAAATTACTAAACGATATTTAATGTTTCTCGTATTTGAGGTTAGAAAATCAGACAAAAACTACTAAATGATATTTTAACATATTTCGTACTTGAGGTTAGCAAATTAGACATAAATTACTGAACAATAATTAGTGTGTTTCGTAATTGAAGTTAGAAAGTCAGGCAAACATTAAACGATATTTTATTTCATAATTAAGGTTAGGAAATCGGTGTTTAGATTATTTTGTTTAAATAATTAATGGAAATACAGTCCACATCAAATTAGTTTCTTTAACTTTGAATTATTTATACAATTGAACAGAAATTACGTAACGATATTTAATGTAGTTCATAATTGAGGTTAGAAAGTTAGACAGAAACTACTAAATGATATTTAACGTACTTCATATTATAGATTAGGAAATCGTATAAATCTTGGATAATCACTCCTATTAGATATTATTTGTTATTGCCCATATTTTTTGGATGGCGATTCTCGTAAGGATTTGCGCAGAAGAGGGGGTGGTATTATTATTTAACTAAACTCACATCCAATATAAATTTTACACAGTCCCAACAAAGACGGCTGTTATATTTTTAATATTTTATTATATACATGTTTTAACAATAATTTGTTACATACATACAAAAAATATTCAGACAAAAAAAAATAAAAACAAAAGAAAAGAAAAAAAAAAAAATATTCATGACATTTTAATTTAGCAAACAATTTGAAACGATAGGTACCTCGATTTTATCCAATTCCTCTACATAAAGCCGCTTAAGTGAAAAAATATCTAATACAAAAAAAAAGAAGTGAAAAAATTGGAGAATACATATTCGATCCAACTAAAAATATTTAAGAACAGAATATATCTTAACGTAATTATGTATTTTTTTGGTTTGGTTAGGCTTTTTAACAGAACAGGCCCGAAGACAGTCCGAGTCAAAAAAACCTTCATTATTCCTACTTTCACCATCTTAAATTTTTTTTGGGCATAGGCAACAAACACAAAATCCTTAGGCCAGTTCTGCTCTTTAATAACAAAATAATGAAGTTCCTAACGGTTTAAAACCACACAAGAGAACCAATATTTAAAACTAACAAAATTTAATAAACATACGAAACCTGATAAGATTCACGAACTCATCGCTTCGTGAGTAATTGAAGAATATTGTACTAATCGGAAAAAAATTACTGTCAAAACATTGAAACCTCTTTTGTTGGTGATGTGTAACCGAATATCAGAAGAAGTCATTATGGAGAGCATTAAAAGCTTCAAATTGTTTTGGAAGCTGGATTTAAGCGACTTTTAAGTCGTACACGAACCACATCAGATTTCGTAAGATTAGTCCTATATATGAGATTGCGAGAAAAGTTCAGAATTAATCAGCTTTGATAATGACGCAACAAGAGATAATAAGTTTTTTAAATTTCCATAACTGAAAAGCGATGTAATAGATAAAGCAAACCAAAAATATTAGAAAACAAACAAAAAGTACGACTTAAATCCAAACATGAAACCAAAACCGTCATATCTGAACTTCCCGCACGCTTTAACAAACAAATTTTCAACAAACACAGACTAAAAATTATAGCCATCTTTTATATAACTACAGCATTACACCTCGTATATTAGGGCATATATCTTCAACTTTTTTTACTCCACAAACACAACTAACATTCAGAATTAATAATATCATTTGGGTACGTACACGTCCTCCAGGTAACCGATTTTTTTCCACAATATATAACTTGTCATTTGCAAGTGATATAAAAATAGTTTTTATTCATTTTTCGTTCATTAGTACGCCAGTTACGATGACAGGTTTCCTTTAAACAACTGGAAAACAAACTGCGGTAACAAAAACTGGTGCGTTTGGACGCGTCAAAAGCATTTTCGTAGAAGTAAAACTGGAAATTAAGGCACTCCTAAATAGGCCCTAATTTCAAAACGAGGATATTTTATTTGAATTTATAGAACTTTTCATTGGATTTCAGTTTTTAGTACTGCTTCTCCAAGCTTTCAGGGATTAACGATGTGTTATGCTAAAGATTTAAAAGACAATGCAAAAGGAATTGTGTAAAAATTACATTACATTTAATTGTACACACTCACATTTAGGATCAGACAGAAAAATTTAAATGTTGAAATGCGAATCAGACATAACCTACAAAGTTTGTTTGTTTGTTTGTCTTAACTGTCAATAGTACACAATGCCTACTGGTGCAAAGCATTACTTTGTACCTACTGGAAAGAGACCTACTAATCTGTAGGTACTATGAAAATAGGTCGGTGTCTCCCTGGGCGAAAAAAACTTTTTTTACTGATGAAACAACTTAGATCTTAGCTGTTCTTTATATCGCGGGTGTAATTCAATGCTGGACGCAGCTGTAGTTCGCAGAGTAGTTGTATCTCACAAATGTTAAAATGTTTTGTTAAAATTCGTCCACTAATTGACTAACCCTTGACTTAATACACATTTAACCTACGAGAATGCTTTTAACGCTCAATTTTATTTGTAATAATAAACAGAAAACATTTTTAATTTGTGGCTGCTTTATTGTCAATAAACCTATTTCTAATATGAATCAATGTAATAATATCGATAAAATTAGGTGCGCTCTTGTTTATACTTCTATAGTAGACGTAGCTATTTTAGTTCATATCTTTCAATTTGTATTTTGATTATGTGAAAATATTGTATTAAAGGGTGTAACGGCACAATAGTAACTTGGCTGGGATGTTCCAAATTTCATTTCCTTTTTCACAAACCGAAAAAACTGAATGATAATCTTTTTATATCCTAAAAATACACATTTCACATCATTGCTATTGCTGGAAATTAACTTAAAACCTCTGTATGAGCCGCCATTAGTGATTTTAATTGTAGAAAATGCTATTGGAATTTGGAACCTACAAAACTCTACAGTAGTTCAAATGTACGATAGGTCTCTATAACGGAACAATCTGCAACAAAATTTGAAACATCCCTCATCGCTAGAAATTATTATAGGATCATCATATACAGCTAAACTATTTTACAGCATCAAGTACGTGTATCACAGACACACTTTCTAAAGCACCTTTTTCCGAAGATGCCGTTGCGGATCTTTTTCCTGTTTTTTTTTTCAAATATCCCATAAGAATTTCCACTAGTGATCGTGTGCGATCTACCGCAACATAGCTACCTACAAATAAAAATCTCTCAATCATAAACATTCGTCTTTGTTAGGTTCATCCTCGGACTCCTCGACTTGCTCCTTCAACAGAGGGCTTCCGTCCGTTATTTTGGTTTTGCTGCCCCTCTGACTGCCCTTGTGGTGGTGGATGGGGAAATTTGGCGCGAAATTGCCGCAGGGTGTACAAGGAGCCGAACGCGACAGCCAGCTCCTCGGAAATACTGAAAATAGTATCAATTGAAACAGGGTGAATTGTGACGAAATGGCAATTACAACCAACATTTTCATGGGTGCATTAGTTGTGTTATGTTGGAAGTTATAACTTCCCTATTTAATAAAACAATATTTCAAAACAAAGCATTATTAGATACTTTCTACGGGTTGTTACAATTACGCTGTGACTTGTTACAATTACGCTGCGACTTGTTACAATTACGCTGTGACTTGTTACAATCACGCTGCGACTTGTTACAATTACGCTGTGACTTGTTACAATTAACACTAGCTTGATGTTGATGTCAATTGTAACAAAATGTATTTTTTTAGAAAAATCATGTATTTAACTCAAAATTAAATTGAGACTGACAAAATTCTAATACGACTACTCACCGCTTGGTATATTTTTCGACCTAGTCGCTGCGTTCGAGTCGTACAAGGGCATGTAAAGGGTTTTAGACTTGACCTTGTGGAAGTAACCCCTGTTATTCTTGGGTTCCATCTGCTGCTGAACCGTCGGAACGGGACTTTTATGTTGAGGGAGTTGTTGTATCTTGTCCAAGAGTTCCCTCATCTCCACCGTAGGACTGGTGGCCCTTGGCGGAGAGTCGGGCGATCCCAAGTTGGCCAAACTGCTGATATCCGAGCCGATGCTGTTGGTAACGCTATACTGCAACTCCTGAAGGTGCGGGCTGGACTGTATCGGGTTTTCCAGGTGGATCACGCTGCTGGGCATGCACACCGACAGGTTGAGGAGGTCGGAGAAGTTGTGCTCTTCGTCTTGGCTTTCGGAATCGTCTTTCGATAGCTTGTTCTTGGTTATCCTTCTATTTACTCTACACATGTCGGCCGCTGAAGCATCACAGTTATTTTGGCTTTTGCTTTCTACCGCTACTCTACCTGGAAACGGAACTGGAGTATAATCGGGAGGTGAGCGATTGTAGACGTACCTGTTCTTGAGTTTTCTACGTCATTTGGCACCACGGGACTAACACTATTTACAAGATTCGTTGTGTTCTGGCCGAAACACGGATTGTCCCTGATCGAAACCACTTGGTGTTGCCGCGGGGGGGCTGGCAACTGGTGCGCTGGTGTCGAAGGAGGCAGCAAGGGCATACTAAGCTGCGTGTGTGCGCTTGGGCTGGTATGCAACACCTGAAAGAATAAGAAAATCGTTTCCCATTTTCAATTACTGCCAATAAATGTCGAGGATATTTTTCCCTCTACACTCTATAAAGGTGCAACTTTAAGTGGGGGGGGGGCAGTTTTTTCGGGTACCAGTACGTAATCCGTAGTAATAACTAAGCTGACTTTTTTTAATCAAATAAATGGTCTAGTTATTTGTTTTTTTAAACTGTACTTAAACTCTTGTCTACGCCGCTACTGGACAGCTCATGAACTCGGTTTTAAACCAATTATATGAAACTAACGGAATAGTAGAAAGCAAAACTGCAACAGAAAATAATTTCCTAAAAGCACACTGCTTCGATATGACCTTCAGAGAAGTAATTTTTGCCGTTTTATAGATTGTGCATAACAAAAACTTAATAAAACTTGAAAGCACTGTGTTGAGTTTATAGAATGATCTGAGCGTCTGTGGAAAAAAGTCGAGACCTAGGAGTTTTTTGACAGAAAACAATCCTGATGTGTATTTTTAAAGATCAAAGGTAGCCTCCGAATAGAAGTGACCCCCAGTCAAAATTACACCTTGTATTCGCTGTCGGTTGGTGGTTTGTTTCTTTAATTTTTACCTGGTGGTACTCAGTACTAGAATTGTTCGAGGCCGAGCGAGGTAGACGTCTGTTTTCAGCCTTCGCCGTCGGCTGGATGGCCGGCAACTGACTGTCCGTTGTGATCTCTTCTAAACTACCCATATGCGAATAGGGGGGAGGGATAATGTTGTTAGCCTGGTAATTATTCAGCAATTAGTAACTGAACGGTTGGCTAGTGATACTAATAAACAGGAAAGCTCAAATTGGTCCTTCGGGACCAAAAAGTATGAACAAGATAAAGAATGAAGAGCAAATATGGAAAGCTTTTGAAGATAAGACACTGCTTTAAAGCTTTTTTAATCTTAGAAGGCAGTAAAACTCTTCTTTGTTGGTGTAAAATGTAAAAACAGTTGATTTAAATATTTTAAAACTTACATTTAATATTGGATTTGAAATTTCCGCTTAGTGACGTCACATTGCATACTTTCAGTTTTTTTAGGACTTAAATGAGGTCAAAATGAAAAAAGAAATCAATATATTTAACCCATTTTCATTTTCGAGTGTTTATTTTAAAAATTGCATTTGGCGATGGATTTGAGATTTCCGCTTAGTGACGTCACAACGCAATTTTAAGTTTTTTAAATACTTAAATGGGGTCAAAATGAGAAAAAGAAAAAATCCAATATTTTTTTATTACTTATTTTAATTTTCACTAGACTAATATCAGAATATGCGCAACCCGTGACAGTTAAGAAACAACTAAATTTAACGCGAGCAATACCTGGTGTCGAAACAAATAACAGCCAACGAATCATTCAAACAGTATTATTAGCGGCATTCAAACACCGGTGTGTCATTAAAAATAAATGTCCGAGTTAAGTAAACATCCAGTACAAATAAATTCAAATTTCAAGATACTTTCAAACGGCTTTCCAATTTGCTTGGCTTTTGCCTCAAATAAAAAAAGCATCATTAAGTCTTATTGTAGTTCAAGTTACCTCATTAGTAGCGTTGCATAAAAAGCTTGAACTTAGAGAGTCTATTGTGCTTGTGGCAGATAATGATCCTGAAAATATAAATTCTCTTAAGGGAAACCTACAATAAGCATCGTTATATAATATATGTATGTATGAAATATTCATGCGTATGGGTACGAGAAAACATTCAGTTTCCAGTTACAAATTCAGACATTGGAGTTTATTTCGAGTGGTATCTACTGCAATATTTAGGTATTGATTATATTGAAAGAACGAACATTTATTTCTAGAACAGTTGTTCGTTTAGCACTGCTACAAAATTAATTGATTATAGTTCAGGCAAAAATGGAAAAAATGAGCGAACTTTTTCACTCTGAAATTTTTTTATAAGTATTTTTTATAAAAAAAGTGTAGCAACATACAGCGTTTTGAGATATAGACATATACATATACACCGGGTGGGGCATTCAACTTAGAACAAAATAATATCTCAGTTAGACTCGATTTTTTCGAAGAAAGTTTCAGACAAAAATTGTAGCGCACCGAGGGGGCCATTGAAAGATCCATATTACGACTTCCTGTCTAGACCGGAATTGGTGTTTTTGACCGGAAGTATTTTTTTTAAATGGAAACACCCATTTTTTACCACGGATTTCGATTGAAATTGGCTTAAATCGAAAAAATAATAAAAACAAAAATTTTTCGAAACAATCGAGTCCAACCGAGATATTATTTTGTCTCAAGATAAATGCCCCACTCGGTATATAATTTTTCACGTCTTTTGTCCAAAAACTGCCAATACCTCAATGAAGATGTATTTTTTCGAAAAAAAGTTTCAAATAAATGTTGTTCAAAATGAAATTTCCTACAAAATTTTTTGGATTTTCCCAATATTTTTTAAATGAACTACAGATTATGTGAGAATCTAAAATAATAATTTTAGAGCCAAAATAATGGCCCATTCATATTTAAATAACAAAAGGGGAAAGAAAATTGCGGAAAATTCTTGGAAAATCTTATATGTATATAGTTTGCCGAGGTTTCAATATTATTCTCCAGAGAAAAATCTGTTTTCTTTGAAATTTGCAATACATTAATGAAACTAAAAATTTTAAATTTGCTGACAATAGGAAAGGAATTTTCTGGAGATGCAAACGTATAATAAAAAAAATTATATCAATAGGTATATATTTTTTTATTTATTTGTAATTGAAAAACAATTTTTTATGAACTTCCATATTTAGATTTCTTATGTAAAACTGCTTAATCGCTGTCGCAAAAAAAAATTCGAAGAAAACAGATTTTTCTGGAAAATATTATTAAAATATAAGATTTTCCAAGAATTTTCCGCAATTTTTTTTTCTCTAATACACTTTTGTTATTTAAAAATGAATTGATCATTATTTGGCTCCAAAACATTAATTTTCACATAATCTGTGCATTCAAAATATTTAGTTTTGAACAACCTTTATTTGAAACTTTTTTTCGGAAAAATCTTCACCGAGATATCGGCAGTTTTTGGACAAAAAAACGCTGTATGTTGCTTATCCGTCCGTCTTTTTATGTCTAACTTTCCTGAACTATAAATTGAGTTGAGAATTAAACCGACCGAGAAATAAAAAATGCACGTTGATAGTTTTTTAATGATTATAATTTTTTGAAGCATATATCTCCAAAGTTTTTTTAATAAGTTTTGAATCACCTTGCATATAATGTGTTAGAAGTTTGACTGTCATTGACAGATTAAGCATAAATGAAGAAAAACGTTGTCCACTACACGAGCGAAACATTTTTAAAATGCGTCGAATTGTAATAATATCGGAGAATTTTACCACAACTTGGCAACAGTGCAAGTCAGATCACTTAATTCTAGGACAGCTGACTAGCGCCGCATGCTACACTTTTTTTATAATAGTTACCGAAAAAAACAAACTTCTTCAATTATGCTGTCATAGCCGCCTACTTAACATTTCTTAGTTGCAATCGTGCGAATGATAATGAATTTAATTTTTTTGTTGATAAGCGGTTAGTTATTTAAAGCAAAAAAGTAAGAGAGGTAGAACTTTTAAAATAAACCAGGCTATCTGATAAGTATTTTTGAATATTCAATTTTTGTCTAACAAAAAAGTTGTAGCAAAAAATAAATTATGAGGATGCTTATTTCAACCCCCTCCAAGGGGCAGAAATTTTCGAAAAATTATTGAGAAGTTACACATGCATTAGTACAAAATTTGTGTAAAATTTGACTATTATCTTTTCTGGTTTTCAAAATTGCAGCTGCTATTCCATAGGCGTAGCTACGGTGGGGCAGACTGGGGCGCTTGTCCCTGGTTCATTTAATGCAAAAAAAAATACAAAGAAAACAATTGTTGCGAGGGTAAAAATGAATTATTTAAAATCTTCGAAATGACGACTACATTTAAAAAATAAAAAATAATAACAAACAAAAAATTTTAAATTTAATTTAAGATAAAATAACTAATTTATCAAATTTGGGAAACATAATAATTTTAACTATGTGCATTTTTTGTCACGTCCCTGGACATAAATATAAATTACTTTGTATTAAATTATTTTTTTATTTATTTTTATTAATTATTTCAAAGTTCAAAAAGTTTTAAAGATATTGACTCGAAATTTGAAAAATACTTTGAAGGGATGATTGTGCATTTTTTAGGGTGATCCGAATATTTCTACTTGCATCAGTGGCGTTCATGCGAGAATGCCACAACTTTAATTTTAAAAAAATTGTATGCCAGACTTTTTGCCGTTTTGATATTTTTTTAGAAATCCGTCATCAATTCTGAATCAAATTGGTTTCTTCAATTTTTTTTCGTAGGATGAACCGTTTTTGAGGAAAAAAATAAAACATTTTATTGTAGGTTTTGTTAATTTCATCGATATTTTAAAAACTCGGAAACGAAGCATACACATTTGGACCTACGCTTATAGAAACTTTTTTTCACAAAATAACTTCGGCAACCACCCCCGAAAATATTTCGCACTTATTTACAAACACCCTGTATATTTCTTTAAAATTATATTAAAAAAATATTTTTTTCCATTTAAATATCATCGTCAGTCGTTTTTTTTTAATTGATTCATATCTCCCGACTCGTCTATTTCTTTCAATTATTTTTTAAATTTGAAATTCTTTAAGGTTTCAATTAAAATAAAACTTTAAAAAATTAATTTTTTAACGTTTTCAAATGTTTAAATAAAACAAATTTTTTAGAAGTAGTTTATATTATGTATTTTTGTTTTGCCTTCCCCTGGAAAAAATTCTGGGTACGCTCCTGGGTCACTTTTATGCAAAACGTGTTCTTTTTAGTTGTAGATTCACTAGTACCATTTGTGCTACTCCATTTGAAAACACCCTGTATGTCACAAATGTCATCTTAAATGACCATGAGAAAAATTTCCGGATATTTTTTGCACCTTGATAATTTTATTCTCGAAAACGGTGTTTCCCCCGATTTATTTTTTGTTTATGCTGTTGCCTATTAAAATTATGCCAGTCAAACCTCCAACACGCCGCGTTGGCACGTGTAATCGAGATCAGCGTCGTCCAGAGAGACGCCGCCCGAGGTAGGTACTTACCGACAGGCCTAACAATGAAATTTCTAAAATACTGCACCATCAGGTATCCCGTGGAGCCGTTGTTACTTTTTACCGGTTCGGCATTGTAGCTAATTACCAGCGGATATAGGTCGGGCTTCGAGGTCACCTGAAATTCAATTCAGACGAAATTAGACTTTAAATGGGCCCTCTTATAATACATTTTATTCCTTTCAAAGGGAAGCCTCGCGAGTCTGACGTCCTTTCAAATGGATATTTTTAAAAGGACTTTGTCGACGCGGACCTTGTGAAGGCAGCAAATATAAATGTATATGTTATATGTTATCCGACGCGTATTGATTTTCCATACTTTTAAGTGAACGCATAGAAAATGCCTTCGCTGGTTCAAGTACGAGACATTTTCTATACGAACCGGATGTTCAGAATCAATACTGTTTCCAAAAAAATGTTTCGATACAAAAACTAAAAAAATAAATATACAGGTTCGGAAAGTCCCCATGGTACATCGGCCGTTACGTGAGAGCGATAAAGTAAGTCATAGAAATCCGTGCGATAGACAAGGATGGTAACATTGAAGACGTTTCATAATCTGAATAGTCACTCCCACTTCTAACACGAAACGGGCCGTGACTATTCAGATTATGAAACGTCTTCACTATAGCCATCCTTGTCTATCGCACGGATTTCTTTACCTTGTCGCTCTCATGTAAAGGCAGCTGGACCATGTGGATTTTCCAACCCTGTAGATGACTTTTTAATAGAAAATCGCTGGCTACGTAAACCAGCAGATTTATTCCGTGGTCGGAACTCTGATCTCACTCAGCAGTTTCCGGTGACCTTGGATGAAGAAGGGCCGCAATAACAATTTTTTACTTGTTCAAGAAAACTCATTAAAATAGATTGTGATAAACATACCTCTGAATATGGGGGAGGCGCTTGATGAAAGCTGTTACACCGGCTGTACTGGGGAGGTGCATAGCACGACCCATTAGAATCGGGTTCGGAGGCCCTCTCATCTCGTCCGGAATCTCTGCAGCAAAGATTCCCCTGGGTGTGTTTCCTCCACAGGGAACAGGCACATAAAATTCCGGCCACTGTTGCCGTCACAGCTAGCCAGAAGTACCTTGACACAGAAGAATCGATTTTTTTCGTTTGAAATCAGTTTTAGTAGCTAAATATAAATGTTTTATACAGGGTGTCCCGAAATTAATGGGACACAGAGCAAGGGTAGATTCCTTACATCGAAATAATGCGATTAAGCCAAAATTACCTTGGTCCATTTGTGGCTAATAAAAAAGATACAGGGCGTTAAAGTTGAAATTTTGAATTCGAAATTCTTAAAATTCTTAGAAAGTTTTCAAAGGATTCATTTGAAAATTTGAATTAGGGGGTTTTCTGGGACGACAAAAACGAATCCGTACGAAATGTACTCTTGGTTGATAAACACTGGTTATAACTTTTTTATGTGTGTGTACGAAAGATTTAATAAAAAAATATTGTTCTCCTATCTATTTTTCACAAATAAGGGATACTTGTTTTATGTCGATAAATTTAACCGTTTTCAATTTATTTCTTGTTTTTCTATTGGATGCAATAAAATAAATATCCTCCTCTTATCCTGGAGTAACAGTTGTTGGACGGCCAGCATCTCGTCTTTTAGGACGAAACGATCCAGTATTTCCTAACCGGTCATGAAGATTTTTAAACAATTTGTGATTTGGTTGTAATCTATTTGGGTAACTTTCTAAATACCTGCGACACGCACGACGTCCATTAAAATTTTGTTTTGCATAAATACATACCATATCTCGCATTTCTTCATTAGAAAATAAATTATGGCGAGGCATATTTCACGCGATATTATTAATTGTAAACAAAAACTGAAAGGAATACACTATTTAACATAAATTACTTGTCAATCAGCTAATTGTCAATAGTACAATTTGTTTTCAAATAACCAAAGCTTACTGTGACAGTTTTACGTAAGTAACTACAAACTTTTATTTTATTTTATTTTATTGCATCCGATAGAAAAACAAGAAATAAATCGAAAACGGTTAAATTTATCGACATAAAACAAGTATCCCTTATTTGTGAAAAATAGATAGGAGAACAATATTTTTCTATTGAAACTTTCCTACATACACTGATAAAAAAGTTATAACCAGTTTTTATCAACCAAGAGTACATTTCGTAGCGCCCTCTAGCGTCTACAGCAAAATTAAGTACGGATTCGTTTTTCTCGTCCCAGAAAACCCCCTAATCCAAATTTTCAAAAGAATCCTTAGAAAACTTTTGAAAGAATTTTGAGAATTTCGAATTCAAAATTTGAACTTTAACGCCTTGTAACATTTTTATTAGCCACAAATGGACCAAGGTAAGTTTAGCTTAATCGCATTATTTCGATGTAAGGAATCTACCCTTGCTCTGTGTCCCATTAATTTCGGGACACCCTGTATATAACAGCACCACAACAAGCGTTAACAAATGATTCCTATTTTCAACTTAAAAAAAAACAATTTTTAAAGACAAAAATATATGCAGAAGCTTTATTTCTAGGCTTCATCTATGACGAAGATTTTGTCGATAAAATTATTGCTATTTGCTGCATACTCCTACACTCGGACGCGATATTGATACAGCAATGGTTTGTTTAAGTATAGTATGTAGGTACTATTGTTTCACAAACATACTAATTTGATTGGCAAGTCTTCTTCTTATTATACCGAAAACTATCGTTAACAATTTCTACTCTCTGCTCTTCTACCTACATAAGAATTTACTGATGGTCTATTTAGTCATGTTACGACGTCACACCACTCGTTAGCGACTAGTCCACATACTTAACTGGGTACCACATCACATACATCACATGATATCTCTAGCAATGCAAGCAGACAAAAACAAACGAATTTAAACTATGTATTTTATTTAAGCGATTTCTTAGAACTGCATGATAATAATTTCGGAAATTCTTTTGACCCTTTAATTTTTTGCATTAGTTTATAATAATTGTAGTCCCTAGTGTATGAAGAGAATAAACGCCAATATGCAAACTGTTCAGTATGGGAGAAATAAGTCGTCAGAGGAACAGTAAAAACAGGAAACGTTTTGTTTATTTTGATCTATACGTGAAAACAGATTGTTGTGCTACTTACCAGTGGCCTAAAAATAGGGGGTTGAACACCGACCCTGTCTGAAGGTTGTTGGGAGATGATCCTTTATGCACGGTCGAGAACAGAAAACAGCAACCTTGTTTACAACACTCTTTAGGGGGTGAGCAGCTCCACTGGCCCCCATCACATTTATTTTCCACTAATTGCTAAAAAAATGGTTCAGTATTGTTGTATCATGAGCACCCACAAATAGTCCAGTCACTGACGTGAAATTTGAACTGTAGCTAGGGAATAGCCCAAGAAACAAAAACAGTGCTGATGTGTGCTTTTACCCTAGGGGTGGTAGCCATCCCTTCTGGAGGGTGGGAATTTTTTTTATTAAAAATAACCTCGCGATTTGATAGAGGGACGAATTCTAAGCAAAAAATATTCTATAAGAATTTTTTGTACAGTCAATACTTTTTGAGTTATTTGCGCCTAACCATGCGTTTCGCGAATATCTCGAAAACTACAAGTTTATCAAAAAAATGATCATAAGTAAAAATGAAGGTAATTAAACAGCAAAGAGATTGCTTTTTTATTTTTGTAGGTTGTAGGTGGTATAGAACCCGAGTTATGACTCCCAGAAGTTGAAGTCAATTTCGAAGATAGCAATAATCGAACGTTCAACGTCCTGTAGCGGAAAAATTAAAGGTTTTTCGAGGAAAACTTATATAACACCTATTAAAGTTCTTGAAAAGACCTTTAAATTGAGTGGTGGTAGAAGTCGTTAGCATGAAAACTAATGAAGTTACAATCAAAATAAAATGATTGTCTTGATTTTTAAGAAAAAAAATCGGTATTAAAATTATGACAATGGAAAATAAAAAATTAAACGTATTCCTTCTGCAATTTACTTTATTTATGTATTAACAGTAGATTCTGGGAATTTGAACGATTTTAGAAGCCTTTAAATTTTTTAAAAAATCACCTTTTTTCAAAATATTTCAAAAACTAACGAAGTTATAAAAAAAATGATAGAATAAGAAATTGTAGGTTTTTTCTTACTGAACAATTATGACCGTTAAAAGCTAAAAACTAAGCTCCAAGACTGCCTTTTCTGAGCCCTTTTAGCTTACAAATCTAAAAAACAAAGGGCTCAAAAAAACTGCAAATCACAGAACTGAAAGTGCTTTAAATTCCGTAAAAAATGGTTTTTTGAGTAAATTTATAACTTTAAAATTACAAAAGTTATGGTAAAAAAATTAATCACATTTTTTCGGTAAAACTTTCGGTGCGGGAAAATTTCCATCATCTTTGTGTATTTTGGAGCACCTGTCAACTGATTTGAGTAAGTATTTTAATAATATACATACACACACGTATTCATTTATAACGTATATAAAATTTAATTTTTTTTATTTGATATGAATTTAATAAAAAAAATATTAAGAATAAAGAAAAGAATATTTTAAACTGTTAAAAACTTTTTTTTCTATTTTTTTGGCCATAGAAGGTTAGTTTTTAAGGATTTTTAAGTGCTGAAAAGTAATTAAATTTCATAAATTATATTAAAAAACATGAACGGAACTTTATCCAACATATTTGACCATGAACTGAATCTTTAAAATACCTAAATCTTCGATTTTCGCATTTTTTTCGTACAAGGGTACTTTTCACCCCCAAATAGAAAAAAGCACACATCTAGACAATGTAACTTTTGAAGTGGGGGATCAGATGAGCTTGTATGCAAATTTTCAGGAAAATTCATGCTATCCGAAAAAAATGGAGCTTTTACTTTGTTTTCGCCTTCAGTGACTGGACTAAAAGATGTATGCTTCTGGAGAAGCTATAGGCCAATTTTAACTTCTTAAACATTAATTTATTGCAACAACGAAAACTTTGTTTATATCAGTACGGAAAATGTCTTAATATAAACCACAAAGTCAACAGATACGTTGAATAGTAATTGCAACATTTCGTTTCGCGTAATATTAAATATAGTCCAGGCGATAGAGCATTCGATGCGTTTGTATTTAAAGTCATCTATTTTGTTATAACTTTATAGAAAATCGTAAAATAAACAAAAAATAAAGAATGGCATTTTTATTTAGGGCATACTTTCAATGCTACATGGAAAAATATGTCGAAATACGGGTAATTTTTCGTTCTTTTTGTAAGTTTGTTGTTTCCCTAAATTTAGCAATGGTTTGTTGGAATAGGCAATCTCAGATTCTTATTCTACAAAACATTTGGGATTTTTCTGTACAACAAAATAACGAGCGTTCAAATAAAAACGTGGTCGAAGTTGGCTCTGACACATTGGACGTAGGGAGTAGCTTATAGCGACCAACTTAACCTCATTTCTCAACGAGCTGTATAGCAGCTGTCAGTTTCAATAACGTTAATGACTATATAACTTTATTTTAAAGAATAATCGTGATAACAATAACAAACAATTAAAGGAGCTGCGGAAAGTGTCCCCCTCCTTGTTATAACAATAAATTAAAGCAGCTGCTGAAAGTGTCCCCCTCCTTGTTCCAAGCACTTTTCACACCTGTTCCTCAAAGAATTAAAGACATTTTCTAAGATGCTCGGGGTATTGTTAATTTCACGAATCTTGTCTATAAGTCGAGCCTGCAGATGGTTTAAATCAGGAATAGGCAGTTCAAAAATAGTGTTTTTAAGGTAAGGCCACAAAAAGAAATCACACGGCGTAATATCACATGACCTCGGTGGAAATTCATGTTCAGCATTGAGACTTATTAGTCGATTTTGGAAAACTTCCCTCAACATATTCATCGTCTCGCCTGCCGTATGTGCCCTTGCGCCATCTTGTTGAAAGTAAAAGTTTGTAATTTCGTTTTCTTCCAGCTGGTTAACAAAAGGAGCGATAATTTCTTCTCTATACCTTTGCGCAGTAAGAGTACCATTAAAAAAAATAGGTCCATAAATCCTCCTTCGATTGAGAGCACACCAAACTCCAATTTTTTGAGCGTGTAGAGGGCCCTCGACAAAAAAGTTATCTGGTTTTTCAGAAGACCACATTCTCATATTCTGTGAGTTTACGTAACCACTTAAATGAAACCAGGCTTCATCAGAAAAAAAGGTGATATTATGAAGTTCACCGTAGTTGTTTAAAAACCATTCACAAAATACAGCCCGTCGCGGAAAATCAACTTCATGAAGTTCTTGCTGACAAGTTAAACGATAGGAGAACAAACGCAAATCTTTTTTTAACACTGTGTGGCAGGTACCGACTGATACTCCCACCATTTGTGATAAAACACGTACAGAAGTTCTTGGCGCATTTTCCATTATTTGTTGGACATTTTCTTTTAATTCTTCAGTCCGCTTTTTAGGTCGGCCGCTTCCTTCTTTTCTTGTTACACTGCCCGTTTCACGAAAAACATTAACACAACGCTGAACTGCACTTTGAAAAATTTTGTACTCAACAACGCCGGGAAATTGATTTTGAAATTCTATGAAACATTCCTCAATAGAATACTTCCATATTCCATCAATCTTGCGTCCATTTCTAAAGTAGGACTCTATGATAAACACTTTTTGTTCTTGAGAAAACACCATTTTAAACGCTTTTTAAAACGAAAATATTCAAATTGATAGCGGCGATATAGCGCTTTGACAGATGACGTTTAAGTTCATTTGCTATACGCTACGCCCTACGTCCAAATTTTCAGAACCAACTTGACCACGTTTTTATTTGAACGCTCGTTATGATTTCAAACACAAACGCCAAAGCCTACTTTTACTGCTCTGCGGCCTAGACTAATAGAACGTTTAGAAAATTAAGCGTTTCAACATTTTCAGTATCAATCCAAGTATTTGTATAAAAGAAAATGATCCAAGAGGCCTGTAAATGTTTAAGTGCGGTTGTCGTTTGTCCATTCCATTTATCAAGAGGAGAAGAGAGAACGGAGCAATCTGATTAGTGATTCAATTACATTGTTTGCCGCCCCGGCTTGTAGGCTTTAAAAATGCAGCAGAAAAGGCTTTTAGGAAAAGAGAATAATAATGTAATGACCGTAATAAGTATCCACCTAATTAATCAAGTGAACGCATTTTCATTTTACATGCAGACCGACAAACAACGCATCTAGTTACTTACTAAAATTACTGTTTGTAATTAAATTAGATTAGGTTTTAGTAAATAAATGTATTCCTTAAAATTAAATACTGCTACACTAGTTTAAGCACAACCGCAGAACACGTAGAGTAAGACAGCATCACCATTACTGTGCATGCACAGGGTGAGGTATAAAGCTGCATTATTATTGACGAAATTGGTGGTTTATTTTCCAAAATAGGTTTGGAAAGATTCACTAAGATTGTAACCACAATTTAATTGCTTGGAGTTATACAACTGTGATTAGCATTAATTAATAATATAATAAGTATAAAATACTCTGTATTTATTTGTAATATAAATATATTATCAGGCTTATAAAGAATTTAACGATCGATTTCCTTAAAAATGCATGGAGTCCTTGAAACTCTTCAGAGTCCGCGCTATCGCGATGAAATTGAAACGTGCATAAAAATACTATTGACCCAATTAGAGTTTCTCGGGCGTTAGCGGAAACGGAATGCACCACCGCTAGCGTGGTTGAAAATAAGTGAAAACTTTGGAAAACTTACGGTACTCATAAGTTCGGAACGGTTTGTAGAGTTGCCAATTGCGCAATAACATAAGAGTGACACATTGCACCGTATTCGGCGGACCTTCAGCTCATCGTTAGCGAGGAAGATTGGAAGACAGTTTGCTGAAACAGAGAATTTTCATGTAGTAAATTCAAATACGTACTTTTTAAAATAAAAAAGTAGTGCGCAAAATATTGTAATTTGAATATGCGCCTACTCTCGCTGTGTTGATTTCGCTTTTTTTGTTTTAAAATACAATTCGACATATTTTGACGGAATTTTTATGCACCTTGAAACTATTACGTATCTTAAAGCTGGATGTTTTTTGTGAGATTTTGTTTTAGCATGACCACAGACAAAACAGCGATCGCCCCAGACCGCTACTGGAATAGGCCAGCAGTTTTTAATTTCCGAATTGCCGATAGAGTACACCACCAGCAGAATTTTAGGAAGAATCAAATGCAGCGACCCGCATTCCTACGCGAATCTTAGCAACATATGAACAACACTTTGGCAATGTTGCCAGGCGAATTTATTTTATACAATTTTTTATCAATACCTGTTTTTTGCGTTACTGTATTCACTTAAATGTATGATGTAAGTATTGATAAAAATGTTTTAAAGAATCAACGAATATCTATGTAGTTTCATGTGATATTCTGCATCATAATTTCGTTAATTAGCTACTATTTTCATTTTTTGGTATTGAAATACTGCAGAAAATATATTTCCAAATAAACAAAATTCGTAATGATATTTTAAACAGCTTGTAATATAGGTAATCTTTTTCATATTTGATGATGATGATAAATTTATTTAATATACAAGGTACGTTATTAGTACGTCGCGGAATGTAGGTACAGTTTTCTTTTTGTATTTTGACATTCACTTATAGGTTTAATAATTAATGATAGAAAAAAACTTTAAATACAAATGTACGATTTTTCCTTTATTTCTTTTGACATTATCAAAATATGCCGGCGTAAAATATGTTTAAAGTAAAAAAATCATTAAAAAAATTAAAATTCATCCTTATCGAAATTGTTATTTGTTATTATAAAAAATTTACTAAACTAAATTTAAAAACAACATAAGAAGAATACCTAAAAATGAAATAACATTAAAATACCTACAATTTTTACAAATTTTCAACATGCAAGTAATTGTGATGATACAGTTGAAAATATGATTTAATTTACTATTTATTGCTTTAAAAACAAATTCAGAATTATCAAACATTTCGTCCCGTATTTTTTCTTTCAATACCTGTAAATTTTAGGGTCTTTAGTAATATATTTTGTTGCAGTGCCCCCACAAAAATATGTCTAAAAGACTGAGATCGGGGCTGTTTTCTGACCACCTAAGGTCTCTAATAATATTTTTTACAGTGTTCGTTGACAGGATTCGTCCTCCAAAATAAATTTGCCGATATTCCTGAAGAACTTTTGCACATTACTGTTATTTGAATAATACAGTTTATTATGTTTTATATTTCGTCATCAGAAATCGTCCATTTTAATTTTTTTAATTTTTTAAATTAAAATGGGTTATTCTGGTAATGATAAATAAACGGTTTTTGCTCGTAACTCGAAAATGGTTGGAAATATAAACAAATCTCCCCTTGGTTCTGAGTGGAGCACTCGATGGGTGAGGCAGAGCAGGGTGTCAAATATATGAAAGAAAAAAACAGAATTTGCTTGTATAATACCTCGGAAATTAATCGAAATATCAAAAAATCTCCCATGGTTCTGATTGTTGATCGTATTTTTGGGATATTCGGACTTATTTACAGGTTTCTTTTTCTGTCCGGTATATTTCAACAAAAAAAATAACAGATGGGTTTCCAAGTAATTTCACAGTGACTTTCAAACAAATTAGAAAATGACTTCTTAATTCAATTTGCTCTCTTTAAGCAGAAATAATGGGATCGCAACCAACTCGACTGGATAATTAAATGCAGCATTTTTTGCTAATGGAATTGTCGGCCTTAACACAAACCCATTAATTTGCATATTTTAATTATTAATTAATGACACAATAACAATAACAACGACTCTAACAGATTTCAAAATGAGAGCAGTCACCATTTGAAATGTGCCTATGCATCTCAACACTCTCACAGGATGTAAATAAAATACTTGGCCAAACTTTGACAGCGAATTCTACAATTTGACGATAATGTCCGGAAACATTTCGAGATACACAGGATATTTTCCAAGAAATTCGCATGTTTTTTAAATTGTAAGCTTTAAATGTATCTGCATACCGCAGTTTTTTTATCTGCAGGGGCGTGGTTTTGGGGGTTGACTTAGCAATTTTGAAATAATAATAACTGATACAAGCAATCATGAAAAAAATAAAATATTACCTACATGGCTTGTGTCCTCTGTGTTTGCAATTTGAAATAAACCAAGTATTTTCATGAATTCATGTTTAAAACTTCAAAATATGCTTTAAGATTTTTACACTGGTTACATGAAATTGCGAATAAGTAAACTACCGCCCCCCATAAAATTCGTTTCGGTCTCTTTATTACAGCCATTACACGACCCCTTACCGATAACGACACAAAGTTATCAACACTCACATTTTATGAAGTCGAAATGACAGAGCAAACATTTAGTCATTAGACCCAATTATAATATCAGGGAGTATAACAAACAAATTTATATTTCAGTAGAGAACACGCAAGACTACTGAAACGAACAGAATGGGAAGTATAAGTAGTTAATTTACTTGTTTTATTTAAACGGAAAAATATAAATATTAGATATGCAAAATCGACCACAGATCAAGCAATAACCTATTGCAAGTTGCAAGCGATATTTAGTTTAAACATCTGGATTTAAATAAAAAAATATTTATCTTTCCGCTACTGGAATTTAGTAGATCTCGAATAATGTCGAATAATTTACTTATACTTGTTCATAATAGACCTTTTTAGTAGTGACGTCACATACGCCAAATAATAGGCAACCCGATAGTGCACATTGTTATGAAGAATTTCTCAATATTTTTATCGATTTTCGACTTTATGTACTTTAGTGACAAAAAAATGTCTTCTCTGTTATGACCCTAAATGTCGCGATATTCTGGCAATATTAGAAATATTTAAGAAGTTTCAAACCCCAAGTGACAAACTAAAAGAATTATAGAATTTATATATTTAAATTTATACAACAATATTGACTTTTATAGTAATTAATAAATCAAAATTATATCAGGTTTTTTGACGCATGAATCAGTTCTACCAACGAATCAAAGCAAATAAATTCAAAAATGTCACCTTTCCACACATAATTGTAGTGATACAACAGCGGTACCGTTTTGACACATATTATATAAATATTAGTGTTTGTAAGTAACAAATCAGTAAAAACAATGCAAAACTAGTACGACGCCACACAATTATTTACATATTCCAATAACATAACCTCATTACTGATCTGAGGCTGGAAATCTGTTGGGTTGGTACTTCCGAACTTCACGAAGAAATTGACGAAAATTAGAACATGCTTTAATTCGTCAAGAACTTGAATAAATTCATGAAGTTATTTGACAGCGGATTTGGTGCATTACACTTGTCCAATTTCTTGATGAAACGACTTCATGAATTAATTGATCAATAAATTGTCAATGTAAAACAGCTATAACACTTGTCCAATTTCTTGTTGAAGCGACTTCATGAATTAATTGATCAATAAATTGTCAATGTAAAACAGCTATTAGGAATATTCTTTTATATTGTTTTTTTTCTAAGTTTTAAGCACACTAGTGTATTTATTTTACCAAACACGTGTTGGTTGATCTTAAATACTAATAAATCCTAAAAATAAATTCATTTGAAGTTGTTCATTTTCATAGTATCTATGTAAATAGTACACAAGGGTCAAATTCGGTCTGTACAATTTCAACAATGACAATTTGTAGCAGATTGGCTAAATATGTGACGTCACCCTAAAAGAGTATATTATTGCTGTACGCATACGTCATTTTGAAATAGGGTTGCCAGATCTCCTACTAAATGTAACCTTGAATATCCTTTTTTCTGGAAATCTATAAAATGTACAGAAACATTTAATATTTAACTATAACTTTTCCGGTAACATAAATTTTATTTAAAATGGCGCACATGTGCCCAAACCGACATTAATGTACAACAAAAGATGTAAAAAAAATCGTACAAATTCTGTGAAATATAATATGGACAGTGAAAACTTGAAGAAACTTTTAGTTACATCAAAGTATCTCAAAAAACGACAAAATACTTCAGAACTCTTTAGAAAACCTTCAAATATATGGAACTTTGAAATATGTTATTATTATTATTGGACTTTTCTCTGTTCAAGTCAAAAAAGTAAAAAAGATAAAAAAATCTTATTTTTCTTATTTTTTAATTGTTTATTACGATTTTTTGCATAAAGGGGCGATAAATCCGGTGATCGCGCAGGACACTCAATGCTGTCTCTTCTCCCAATCCAATTCCGTAGAAAACGTCGGTCCAAATACTGACGGACAATTAACGCATAATGCGGAAGAGCACCGTCCTGTTGAAAAATCAAATGATCTTCATCATACTCTGGAACATTTTCAATAATATCAGTCAAGGCAGGGTAAATAGCGTCTTCCAGTAATTACAAATACATTTGGCCAGTAAAATTACCAGGTAGATAAAAAGGACCCACCATCCGGTCACCGAAAATTCCAGCCCATACTTTTTATTTTTCCGGTTGCTGTGTATGCACCTCGTGGAAAACTCTTGGGTTTGAATCGAACCAATAGCGGCAATTGTGACGATTTACCGTCCCGTTCAAGAAAAAACTGCATTAATCAGTAAAACAGATGTTAAAAAGGAACTGTAGATCGTTCCCTGCTCGCTCACTCATTCTTTCGCAAAATTGCAAACGGCGGTCATAATCATCCTCATGAAGTTCTTGGACTAAATGTATTTTGTATGGATGGAATTTATTCTTCTTCAAAATGGTTTGTATGCTAGTTCGATTGATCCCAGACACAGATGCCAGCTGCCTCGTACTTAATGTAGGACTTGTCCCAAAACTGCAACTTCACTAGCTTCATTAACTATAGGTTTTTCAATTTCTCGTTTTTTATTGGCTATGTT